GTTACTCTTGAAGCCTAACATAAATAGCTTTCTGTCTTCTATAACCAAACCAAAAGTCATTGCCATAACTGTTCCCTTTAATACAAATGTGATTTTAAACATCGTTATTAAAAAGCCATTTCAACCGGTGTTTAGTGTACACAATCAAATTGTAACTATAATTAGTAAAGACTTTAATTTTATGTTTTTAATTCTAAATTATTATTAATAAGGGTCATTTTAACAGTTTCATTTTACATATAAATACATATCTAACTTATAAATAAATATTTAGTCCTAAAGCATATAACCATTCATTTATCTGAAATTTATAGCTTAAAATGTCTAAATTGTAAAATAACTGTTTAGAATTTGTTAATGATAAGTTAAAAACCATTATAAATACATATAAAGTATGCATTACATAATGAAGGGATAATATATCATCAGTTTGACTACTACTCAACTTTGAAAGAATTGATATAATTTACACCAAGATTGTATATACTGTATTGGTCTTAATTAAAAGTATTTGTATACGTTTTAAAAGACTACCGAAAAATTCTATCATAATCTTTCATTATATTGTCAATAAAATACATTAATTAGTATTTATATAATATATTCAGATTTATAAATTAATATTTAAGTAAATATTTCATCCCTTAAAAGTCTGTAATAATTAGATAGAATATTTTTAAAAATTTTGTTCACTAATCAATTACTAATAATTATAAGTTGTTTATAGGTTTAGTTTGAAAATTGTATTAAAAAAGTGTTCGCAAACCATAATGGGTTCAATCATCATAGAGGCAGCGATGTTCACGGGATCGTTGTTTATAAGACCAAATGCGGCGATAAAGCCGGCCATTAGTGTATAGACGCAGAAATCAAAGGTCACTTCAGATCCCGCTTTCACTCCTTCCACCACTTGAGCTACAGTTAGACGAGAAGTGACCGATTTAATGAAGTTTTGTGTCGCCTCTTTGAACCCGTGGGTCGGCTTTTTATGCAAATTAAATTTATTTTTCGTTTCTTCCAAACTAAAATGCAATAAAAGTTTTAAAAATGTAATTTTTAATTACAAAGTAAAACTCAATTCTTTAATATGTTTACTTGTATACATAGTTGTCGTCAAAACTATCGTCGCCTTCACTATCACTGAATTCTTCGTAAAAGAATAGATTGAATGGTATGTAACCGATGGATGTCTCGGACTTTGTTCCGATCCCTTTCGACTGAAGAACTCTCAGTATTGAGTCGTTTTCGTATAAATCGCAGGGAAAGTAGACTTGAAAGTAGTTCCCACTCNTTGTATTATTATATCATTATAGTAGATGTTTAAAAACTAATTTTTAAAACACAGCAAATATAACGTTAAATACTGGGACCCAGAATATGATGGTTCCGTCGATTGTATTCATTCTTTGTGTAATTTTCACTCTTATCGTCACTTTTATGATCTTCTCGTATGAAAAGTATGTAAAACTAAATAAAAGCAAAGATTTGAAGGAATCTAACAAACAAACCACAGATTAAATATAAATACAAGTGAAATACTAAATTATTTGAATGTATTATTTTAATTAATAAATTGTTTTGATTTTTCTACTTAATTAACTATAAATTTTTATTATTGTTTTATCATCAATAAACAACTATAAATAATTGAAATTAGACTTTGATTTAAATTAAGATTAAATTTTATTAATAAGAATGATTTATTAATAAGAAAAATTTACATAATAGCAAAAATAAAATTTAATACGATTTCGTTTAACAAAAACATGTAATTCACAAACAATACAAATTTGGAAATATTATAATAAATGTTAAGTTATTGACAAATCATTTATTAGTTAATATGTCTATAACTTATAATTTATCAAGATAGTCTTATGTTTTAAAATCCAGTGGATTCGTTGTTAGGCACTAATTTGGGACTATAGAGGGTTCGCCTCCGAACCCCCAAATTGGGAACAATAGAGTCGGATCTGTTCGGGGGTTGACTACTCGGCCAAACACTATACGGCAAATGTGACGAATTTTTCAACGATTTTCGTAATAAATTACTGCTCCGACGCCTTCCCTGCTCTGAGATTAACTCATTTGGTTTAAGGCCGCGAACGGAACCCACCGTCGAGTTCGGAGAATTATCATCCGATGCTTCCGTCATAAACGCCCGACTATTCCTGGCTTTAAGAACCGCTGGACTAACTGTATAGCGGCGTCCGGTCTGTCCTTTTAGCATATCCTGTCCAATAGTGAGCACTTGTGGGAATTGGGTGTTGGAAGCCATGCTCTTTCGGGCGCCCCTTCCGAACAGTACCGGTTGTGTGAGACGTCGTCCCAAACCAAACTATTGCAACAAATTACAAATATATAACAATTTGCATATAACTTAGAATTTAATAAATAAATTCAAACCTGATTAGGGTTTCCGACGGCTTTGCCCATTACGGTCTGGAATGTTTCATCCGATTCCACGTCTTGAGCCTATTATTAAATATGATTTTATGCCATGATTTTAATCAACGGATAAATAAAACACATACAATATCATAGAGTGTCTGCAATTGAGTGACTCTGGCTTCTGGTGTTTCGCTCAACATTTGGTTTTTATCGAGTCCAGAGATTTCCTGTCAAATTCAATGTTCAATATTCAAAATCTAGCGTTTATTCAAATACAGTGTTTAACAATTTGTTCAAACTTACGGCCCATTCCTCCAATATTTGCTGTCCAATTGGATCATTATTTCCGGTGGCCATTGACTTTCGGTTGTACTTCCGAGCGACCTGTAAATCAAATCAAAACTCAACAATTTGTATATTTTGTACGGGTTTTCCTTTACTAACCTTCAAATCATGTTTAAAGAATCGTTGAGTTCCCGGAGCCATATTTTCTAAGGGCACTATTTCTTTAATCTGTTTTTGCCATAAAGTAATCGTACGAATAAAATATGTTTAAATAATAACACGAGTGAATACCTTGAGAAAAATATACGCGACGACAAGCATGCAAATAATGTTGAGAGCAGTCAAAACCATACTCACACAACCCAATAGCGTATTCTCTATTCTCATATCATATGAATATACGGGAGTGTATCCACTCTGTGGAGCGTAAGCGGGCTTTAAGTACATTATTTGGCCGCTCATATTGTAGGGAACCGACTGTTGATGGAGACCTCTTATCTGCAAATGAGTGGTCAGAGCCCACAGAAGACCAGTGTTTATAAATGGCGGCAGAAAAGTGGAGGCGACCGCCACACCAACGAGTGCAGTTTGATTCTCATTCAGCAAAGTGACAGCAATAGCACCACCACATGGCAAAGCAATCATCACTCCGTAGATCAGTCCCTTATAAGTACCCCTTCCCTGCATTTCACCCGTCGGCCAAATGCCTGTGAAATTTAAAACAATGTGTTAATCAATATATTGGTTATCTTTTGGGGCAATGGTTACCATCGGGCGGAGGATTCCATTCAGTCATCCAAATAAAGATAATTAATCCCATTATAAAACCACTTATGAGACACATAATTAACGAAATGATGTTACTCTTGAAGCCTAACATAAATAGCTTTCTGTCTTCTATAACCAAACCAAAAGTCATTGCCATAACTGTTCCCTTTAATACAAATGTGATTTTAAACATCGTTATTAAAAAGCCATTTCAACCGATGTTTATCAAATTATAACTATTGCAATATAATTAGTAAAGACTTTAATTTTATGTTTTTAATTATGAATTATTAATAATAAAGGTCATTTTAACAAAGTTTCATTTTACATATAAATACATATCTAACTTATAAATAAATATTTAGTCCTAAAGCATAAAACCATTCGTTTACCTGAAATTTATAGCTTAAAATGTCTAAATTGTAAAATAACTTTTTAGAATTTGTTAATGATAAGTTAAAAACCATTATAAATACATATAAAGTATGCATTACATAATGGAGGGATAATATATTATCAGTTTGACTACTACTCAACTTTAAAAGAATTGATACACCAATATTGTATACTGTATTGGTCTTAATTAAAAGTATTTATATACGTTTTAAAAGACTACCGAAAAATTCTATCATAATCTTTCATTATATTGTCAATCAAATACATTAATTAGTACTGTATTTATATAAAAGATTCAGATTTATAAATAAATATTTAAGTAGATATAAATCGTCCCTTAAAAGTCTTTAATAATTAGATAGAATATTTTAAAAAATTGGTTCACTAATCAATTACTAATAATTATAAGTTGTTTATAGGTTTAGTTTGATAATTGTATTAAAAAAGTGTTCGCAAACCATAATGGGTTCAATCATCATAGAGGCAGCGATGTTGACGGGATCGTTGTTTATAAGACCAAATGCGGCAATAAAGCCGGCCATTAATGTATAGACGCAGAAATCAAAGGTCACTTCAGATCCCGCTTTCACTCCTTCCACCACTTGAGCCACAGTTAGACGAGAAGTAACCGATTTAATGAAGTTTTGTGTCGCCTCTTTGAACCCATGGGTCGGCTTTTTTTGCAAATTAAATTTATTTTTTGTTTCTTCCGAACTAAAATGCAATAAAAGTTTTAAACATGTAATTTTTAATTTCAAAGTAAAACTCAATTCTTTGATATGTTTACTTGTATACATAATTGTCGTCAAAACTATCATCGCCTTCACTATCACTGAATTCTTCGTAAAAGAATAAATTGAATGGTATGTAACCGATGGATGTCTCGGACTTTGTTCCGATCCCTTTCGACTGAAGAACTCTCAGTATTGAGTCGTTTTCGTATAAATCGCAGGGAAAGTAGACTTGAAAGTAGTTCCCACTC